AGGAAAAATCAAAGGCCTCCTCTGCCTTGTTCCAGGCGCAGCTGCCCGTCATATGGGTGCATTACAGCCTTAAGGGACCCAACACCTGCCTTGGACACAAAGGATAAAGTGGGTCAGACTGACCCAGCCAACGTCAGTGAAGCCATTCGTTATAACGTGAACCCAAGTGTACAAAGAGGCTGTACCGCAACCCCCAATAACTTGTGGGCCAATAGGGGATAATAGCATTTTCGTAGCTGGTATTTCTGCTTATTCATCTGGCAGGTGCTTTTAAAGCCTTATGCCTTTATCTACCAGGGAATCCTGGCACATCTTTCCCGGAAACACAAATCATACCTACCCTGTGTGGCCAACTGATTTCTCTGCCCAGTCGGCATCTGACTCTCATCCTGAATCTCATCATCATTTCCTACATACGTCTAGATCTGCCCAGGCAAAGAGAAAGACTATTTGTTCTGTATTTGATGAGAAAAATCTCTGTACCGGAAGCAATTATACACATGAATGCATTCGGTCATGGCTGATAGTGAAGCAGTCATGAGACAGAAATGACCTTGACACAGTAACCTGTCTTACATTTAGCACTGGGTTGTCTTCGATGTTGTATGGGGAGGCAGAGATAGACTAGGGGGAAAAGATTCCTACTGTGCATTTTCCTGTTAAGGGGGGGGGGGGAAGGAAATGCCTCAGTCCTCAGTCATGGGTATAGGAGAGCGTTTGATGTTGGACACAATTTAATAATTCAAATGCAAAGGTTAATTCTATTTTTGGTGGGGTTGTGGATAACAGCAAATTAAATATTGGGGGGGTGTAGGTCCTGCCAGTTCCTATGCGCCTGGCCATAGGAATAGAAGGTTTTGGGGAAGAAAAGCCGATCCTGCCATTGCATCCCGTCACATTTACAGATACTCACAACGGGCAAAAAGACAGTTAGCACAGAGAGAGCATCTTTATCGGAATCCCCCCCGAACCAGGCAGATGGGGATAAGAGGAGCCATGCTTGCAGTCAAGGGGTTAAACAGCGACCAGGGACTGGGGGCCGCGTCTGTACCATAACAGAGGGGTGACTATGGGGACCGCTCAGCAGGCAGCAGTCATGAGCCCATGAGCGAGAGAAACCGGGGCCAGAACAGACGTGTGCACGCACACACACGGCATCTCATGGAAGGCTGACGAGCCCTGGGCCTAACCACTGTCATGCAGCCGACACACTAGCTGAGGCCTGCTGGGGCGGGGGGCTGCGGAGCAACGTGGGGAGAGAGACAGAAAAAGAGAGACAGAGATTATTTTTAGAAAGAGAATATGAGATGAAAGAAGATGAGATGTTTCACACAGACAGACATAAATATACTGAAATCTGGATGAATGACTCCCAGCGGGAGGGACACATAGAGGAGCGCGTGACATTATGAGAGGAGTGACATCCACGTCACCGCTGCCGTTATCCTGCTGTGCACAGCCTCACGGGGACACCTTCAGAGGGCATGTAGGTACAAATAATGCAAGAACGAGGAAGACAAAAGGAAGAAAGAAGGTCATGTGAATGCAGATAGATGACTTATCAGGATGGATCTCCATCTGACGCGTCAGCCATACCAGGTGACCTCGAGTATTTCCGGGGGGGCGGCTGATTTCATTTGTACCCCCCTTCCTCAGTTAAGGCCCCAAAGAAGCGTGAATGGCTCGTATTTTCCAGCAGAAAGCTCCAGAAAAGCGCTTAACTGTAGCCATTTCTCTCTGTTACTAATCTCGCTCTGAGTCAACCTCCCGCTGTCAGGAAAAGTTGCGTTGCTTATGTTTTATTGGGAGATTGGGTGCGAATGGTTATTTAATTGTAAGGCTGCCCCCCCCCCCACTCCATGTGGAGGGAGGTGTGGGGGTGCACTGTGAGAGCTGGGGGCCTTTTTTAAATGCCCTGTGCTTTTCAAAGCTGCCCCAGGGTTTGTATTAATACAAGTTTATGGTGGAAACTGCAACACATGTGATACCCAAGAGATTCCAGAAAAAATTTAGCCCAGCATTAACAAAACTGTGAGGTTTTCCTGCACATATAGGGGGTGCCGTTGGGTAAATCTATGCAGGTCAGGTAATCATAAAAAAGCAATTTCACCTCTATCATCTTCCAGTATGTATGACTAGTCCTGAGCTCTGTATGCTTTCCTTGGACTGAGCTAAGCTAATCTGTCTCCCAGAGAAAATACCGGTGTTGCTGTCTATGGGACAGAGAAGGCATAGAGAGGAAATTTCAGCTCTGAGAGCAGCGAGCCAGCTGACAGGCTCTGCAGAAACAGCAATGCAGCCAGGCTTCTTTATTTGGTTAGCAAATTATGTCACTTTTTTAAAAAACTTTTGCTGTCTGATCAGCTCTTTAAATACATCGCCATCTGCTGTCAGATGGCCGCAATGTCACTGTGTGCTGTCTGAGATGGGTCCCGCAGGCAGCTAAATCAAAAATCATGAGTGACCAAGTACACTAAGGACTTCACGGGAGATGGGATCAGCTAGAACCTGCAAGGTTCTGGGGCAGGACCAAGGGCATGGAGAGAGACAGTTTTTAGGGTGATGAAAAGAATCCTAGACATACTGTTTTTGTCATACTCTTTTTTTCATGGGTTACACACATTTCAATGTTTCTGCAGTGTGATTGAAATATATTTACAGTGAGCTGCTCATTGGCTGCGATGGCAACACCGGCGGACTCGAAGCACAGAGGAGCCCAGAGGTGGAACAACCGGGTAAATCATTCCTGTCAAACAGTGACACTCATCGAGCAGAAAAACCTCAACACTTACAGTGGGGACTTTTGAATGGTTTAGCATTGGGACAGATATCATTCCTTGGGCAGTACGTCATGATCCAAATTTACGATAAAATTTCGGGGGGTGGCGATGATAAAGGTTCATTTAGCAATCATGTTATGTTTCAATACTACATCCAACACATTGCAACAAAGCTTTATATAGTCACGGTCATGGAATGGAACTCACATACTGTAAATAATACTAGTGTCCAGTTTTTGGGTGTAAGTCAGGTCATTGGTCTTTCAGTTGGGCTACCTGCAAGTGCATGGTTCATTGATTTTGGAGGTTTTCAGAACCGTGCTTCCTAGAAATACTTCTCTGTTACATCACAGAGGCATGCATGCTGTTGTCAGTAGAAGATCAGGCCTAACATGTGTTATCTGAAGCTGCCTGATCCTACATGCTGGTATGTTCTTACAGTATTCCAGTGTGCTTTTATGAGTATCCCTGCAGGGCTGCATCTCCTGTTACACAACAGGCCATCACTGTTGTTTCAATCCCCCTACCTTTCAGACAGGGAATCCATGGTATCGTTATTTGCAAGCAGTACAAATGTAGAGGGCACCTGAAAGGCGTTCATAACCACACACATGTGTTCATCCTCAAACTCACACACTCTCACTCCAACAAGATCTAGAGCTTCTGCAACCAAGCAAAAAAGCTCTGTACAGTCAGTTTATATGATGAACAATTGTTGTAGTGAAAGAGAGAAGTAATCTGAATTAGCCTGAATGATGCCTGATTTTTTGGACACTCATAGCTCATCTGACAGCTGCAAATGGCTTGGTTGCACAGGGTCAGGAGATAAATCTTTGTCCTGAGGGGAATCCTTCTCCAGTCGAACTCAGGATCTCTGTGAGCAAAGCATGCAGAACAGCTGTGAGCAGATAAAAGAGCGAGCCTCAGACGGTACCTGGAAATGCTGCCACTGTCCCCCGACGCATCAGAATACACCACAGACTTTAATGTTGTACTCAACAGCGGACGCTGTTTCTGTCCACCCACTGTGAAACTATCTTTTGATTCATATCTGTGAGTTCAGCTTCCTCCGGAAGGTACATGTCATGTTGCCTCCTGCTTTATGTGGGAGTGCCAGCACCTCCAGAGCATTTGCCTGAGAACTCGCCACCCCAAAAGGCTTATAATGTACGTCCGTCCATCCATCCATCCATCCATCCATCCATCCATCCATTTTCTGAAACTGCTTGTCCTAGTCAGGGCTGAGGGAGGGTCCAGAGCCTATCCCAGAGGCTACAGGCACAAGGCAGGGAACAACCCAGGATGGGGCACCAACCCATCACAGGGCACACTCACAGGGCACACTCACAGGGCACACTCACACACCATTCGGCTTATAATGTCATTGTCAATTAATAACATCAACATTACCAATAAGTGTAAAATGACATTAAATTCATGTAACTGTGACAGTGACATTTCCTACACTGACTCTTTGTGGCTCATGCCTGCTTTAGTGCATTGAGTTCTCTCGGTTGTGTAAGAGAAACCATGGCAACATTAAGGCAACCGTCACCGACCATAGTGACATAAGGACGACTCTCACCAGCCATAGCAATGTTAGAATGACAGTAATGCTGCTCGGGAACACGACATGATGCATTAATTATGTGCCTGTTTCCCGGAGCCTCAGACGATGCGCTGACTGGGGTGAACATGAAGCACCCGTGGAGAGATAAATCCCACCAATGCACACTGCACATCAGAGGGGCCCCAGTTTCTGTGCAAGACACACCAGGTATAACAGAAGACTGTTACTGTGTTATATTAAACATCTGGCTGATTGAGGGACCTCTCCCATTGGCGGAGTGACTGTGTTATATTAAACATCTGGCTGATTGAGGGACCTCTCCCATTGGCGGAGTGACTGTGTTATATTAAACATCTGGCTGATTGAGGGACCTCTCCCATTGGCGGATTGACCGTGTTATATTACACTTCTGGCTGACTGAGGGACCTTTTCCATTGGCTGAGTGACTGTGTTATGTTAAACATCTGGCTGATTGAGGGACCTCTTCTGTTGGAAGAGTGACAGTGTGATATGAAATACCTGTATAATTTAGAGAGTGTGTGATATTAAACTCCACCCCTATAGGTGGCAAATCTTTACAGTATCTGGAACATCGAATATTCTCAGCTGTCTTGGATGTTGCATCAGGCCCAAGGGGACAGCATACACACCTGGATGAAGGGAAACAGCAGGCCCACAGAGAAGTTGGACAGCCAGTTAACGGTTCCAGCAATCATGAAGGCAGCAGATCGATACGACTGCTCAAAGAGCTCTCCCGTGAGGATGAAGGGGATCCCACCTGAGGGGGGAGGGACAGCAAACACTGTGAGCCCACCAGGCATCCTGCACTCTGCTCAAACACCCCCAGCCAATGTGGAAAGTACGGTTAGTTCAACACCCCCAGTCACCTTCTGCAGATTCCCGGCATGAGAGATGGTCTACCAGGAGACAAGAGCTCTGTCAACGGTATTTGGTCGCAAAATTTTGACCTCTGCACCTTTTCCTTGTACTCATAAATATTCATGAGCCCAAAGCACATTTACAATCCTCTGACTGGTTCCTTGATTCTATAATTCACCACAGACTACAGCAGTAATTAAGGTCAGGAGTACAAAGACAGGCATGCTAACACCTGTCCTGTGTATAGCGTCACAACCACATACAATTACACGGCATGTAGATACAGGGCAACCCATGCATGACCATCTCAGGGACTCGTCCTATATACAAAATCTCGCTGCACGTTGCCCACAGGTATGATCGCCTGAGTCACAAAAATGAAAACATAGATAACAGAGCGACATCAAGGTCCTGCATTAGGAATTGTATATACACACCCCAGGCATTGGGCGAAACCCCGTCACTGACAGTCAGTACAGGTCTTGATGTGGCCTTTTCATGTTCATCATTTGCAGTAAGATAGGCCAGTGATTAAAGACGTAAAATGTTGACGATGAATACCTTGGAGTCAAGATGGGTTTCCTGCTTCTATAATTCACCACAGACTTCAGTAGAAATTAAGGTAATAGCCAAAGCTGCTTACTTCTTATTCAGAGGATTTACGTATATTGGACTCCGACATGTCAATTATGTATGGAAATGAACAGCTGAGCTTGATTTTAAGAGGAACTGATGCCTTTGAGATTAACTTTGCAGTAAAAAAAAATCATAGTCATGCCTTTGATTGACTTCAAAGTTCCACTTTTTTTATCTTATAACAGGGTATATTAACGGTATTAAAGCCGACTCAATGTTGAAACCTTAGTTTAATAACATTCCATTATGCCACTTTCCATTTCCAAATAACATTATGTTAGCTTTGTAATTAGTGCTTTTAATGACTCTTGTACAATAACAAAGTGATGTAATAAAAGCAGTGAAAGGCAGATGCCGAGGTCACCTTCTATACCAAACCCCCGCATGAGGCTGCCTGATGGCCCACAGACTCGCCCCCACTTATCTCTCAGCTTCAGATTTAGCGAGGAGCCTGTGCTGATTGCTGGGGAAGTCCAAGTCGCTGTAGGATTACTCAGGGGAAATGAGACAGCCAGCTTGTTTATTGTAAACCAGGGGATTCAATAACCATCTAATAAATTTTATGTTATTCTGGTGGGGGGGGCTGTTTAGGGTGCAAGAGGATGGGCATGAGATTGTTAACTTGCCAGATTGATGGAGGCTAGATTTGGGGACACAATATGATGTTATCTTTGTTGCGTTTGGTGCTGAAGGAACTGGACCCAAAGCCTGGCATTGCTGGTCCCATGGAAGACACTGTGTTTGGACCCTAGAGTGCTGGGAAGCTCAGTCATAAATTCTGCATAAATGAGTAATGCTATGTAAATTGCCTTTCCTATTAGGGACACTGAATAACAGTAATAACAGTAACTGCAAAAAGGATAAATAATAGATGGGGAGCAAGTGGCAGCGTTCTCCAGCACACGGCAACTAAGATATTTGTCATATGTGATAATAAATGCAGTCACACTTCAGATGCACGGCTGCCTGCCTCATTATTCAGTCACCTGGAGCGCTGTCACTCCCCCTGCTGGGAACACGCCACAGAGGACCTGGCAGCAATGGGGAGTGGGGAATGGTAGATAATGGCTGTGGGTATGCAAACACACACACATACACACACACTGACAATCACATAGGCGACGGGGCTTTGAGTCTCAGGGGAAATGGTGAGTGCAGGACCCAAGCTGCCTGCATGCATTTTTAACAGGAAGTGCAACTTTGTTGTCATTTTCAGCACTTCCTGTCCCAGAGGCGTCGACTTTACGTCAGTAGCTGTCAGGTCCCCACTGAGGCTCCTGGAGGATCTCACCCAGAATATTTTCCCTGTGATTTTGTCACTCCCGGCTCGTACGATCCTCCTGTGTGCCACTCCCCCCTCATTAACCTCATGTGAAACCCCGATGTTATCAGCTGTTTCTTGTTTCATTAAGTCCTGTGTATTTAAGTCCACGTCAGAGTATGTATCTCCAGTTCCGTCACTGACATCTCAGCGTTGTTGAAGTCCTGTGTCGCCTTGTATGCCTGTCTCCCAGTTAAAGTCCTCTTTCCCCGATCCTGCATCTCCTTCGCCTGCTTCCCGGGTCCGTGCCCCACTCGCTGTGACAGAATGCCTTCAAATCCTCCTTTTTTTATGAGATGTTTTAATTCATTAAACTCTATTAAATTCAAGCTTTTCCGACACTGAATAATACACACAGTACTACTAAATAATAAATTAAATAATATATTTTTTGCCTCAGTTTATCTAATGCCATTTGAAATTTAAATGCCATTTGAAATTTTAATTCAGTGATCTTACAAGCTGATCCAACATTTGAGTTACAAAAAGATTATTCGTGCATGCACAGATCAAACACCCATTCAGTCAACTACAAGTAGAAACTATGAAATTAAATTTGATGGTTAGCTGTGAGAATTACACTTCTTTTAATTGTGCCCTTTATGGCTGCATTGCTGCGGCGACTCTTTAGGCCAGGGGTCACCAACTCCGGTCCTGGTTGAGCTACTATCCAGTAGGTTTTCTATGATGAGCCACACCTGCTCCTGGTATTTACTAGTGTGGCTCATCAGAAGCCAGGTAGGATAGAAAACCTACTGGATAGTAGCCCTCCAGGACCAGAGTTGGTGACCCCTGCTTTAGGCTATAGAGTAATTAGAGCTGTTGTCTATAAATAGCTATTACATAATTAAAAAAAAGACTCACAATACCTTATTTGGGTTGAGCTTCCCTTTAATAGAGGTCAAACAAACTGGCTCACTACATGTAACCGTCATTTGTAGAAAGAGAAAACCTCATGGCAGGCCTGGCTTGTCCACCACAAAGGCTGTGTATTCAGTCTCCGTTCACACAATTTGGGGCAGAACTACAAAGTTGAGTATTGATCAAGCTCAGGTTAATGTTGATGACCCCCCTAGTGGCTGTAAGCTGCTATGACGCTGGGAACAACTGTTGCCTGACTCATTGTGAATAATGTACTCATTGTATAGGCAGCACCATATACACCAATGTCATGGTGACTCCAGGTGTCCTTCTCTGTCCCTAACTTCAGACATCACCATTAGACTCTTAACTCCTGTTCCTTGTCATTCTGAATTGCTCCTGACTGGCCTGAGCCCCAAAGAGACGAGAGGGGCAGGAGGGACCTCCGTGTGTGTGTGTGTAACTATGTGTGTCACTGTTACAGTCCTTCCCTAATTATGGTCTCAGGGATCTCTGATAGTGAGGGAGGCTTCCCCTTGGGGGGCAGTAGCCTGGCAGCACTCTGGATGTCTGAATGCCTACAGTCAGGGAGATGGACTCCTTTAAAAGGCTTTGCTTCCTGACATCTGTCCATCCAATCATTCATCTTCTAACTGCTTCTCTGAGTCAGTGTCACAGGGTCACCCTGGACGAGAACTTCTTATTTACCATTTCCACCTCTGCTTCCGGCCCAATGCCAGGACCTCCTGCACCTAGACCAAGATACACAGTTGGAAGATGAATGAATGTTACATTTATATAGTGCTTTTCAAGACACTCAAAGCACCAATGGGGAGCCACTTCAATCACAACCATGCACTGTATAGCAGCCACCTGGATGATGCGATGCTTATCTCACGGTAGCTAAGGTGGTGAAGGGGCAGGAGAGAATTCATCAATTAGATATAAGGGAAACAGGGGATTAGGAGGCCAGATTTGATAGGGCCACAGTGGGCAATTTTCGCCAGATCATTGGGGACCACCCCTGCCCTTTTGAAATATGGATAGACTGATTATCTACTGTATGATACTGTAGTGGGCCCAGAATGCACACATAGCAGGATGAATCTCAGCAACGTGAACAACCTCTTATCATACAAAATCAGAAAATTTACTCTAGAGTAAAAAAATAGCTATTTAAAAATGGCTGCTTGAAATCCTGACAAAAGCACCCAGCCAGTATACTGTACTCCTGCAACTTTTTGAACCTGCTTGCCTTGCATCAAAGCCACTTTTACTTTCCTTCTGCCACCGAGATGATAAGATGTTTCAGCTCAACGAGCAAATCAGAACGTGACCTTCAAGAGCAACAGTTCCTACAAACGAAAACTGCAGAGGAATCCTCGCCCATTCACGGCTCCTCCAGGAAATGTCAGGGCTTTGAAATTATACACAGAAGCGTAGCCTAATAGGCCAAGCGTGGCTACAGGGGGACCCGGCCTGCCTACCTCTGGGTGAAACTGTCCCTCTGTGGACTTGCAGCTCTACTAAAAGCCATCACTTTTGAAGAGCTCTGAGTCACTAGAATGGAATGCCGCGATCAAGCCAGGCTGTCAACATTATGAAGTGGGGGGCAGGGGGGTTAAAGTATCACAGTATCAAGAATACAAAGGCGAAAATGCGTGCTTAAAAATGCTTTAAGTTCAGATTCACACCTGGGGGAGGGTGGTTTGCAGAGGGTGGTTTGTACTTCTGAGCATCTTCGCAGAGGAGGACTGAGAAGCACAGGGGAGGTGACCTCCAGGTCAATCCACAAACACCAAGGAAACATGTGAATAATGGAACGAGTTTCTGTACATCCCTAGACAGTCTGATGGTGCCATCTTCAATTTCTCTGTCTACCAGCCTGTCCGTTCATCCACAGCAAACCTGCGATCCTCGGTCATCTCCCTTAAACCCCATCTGTTCCACATTGTCCATTTCTGCTCTACACCTTCCCTGAACCTTCCTCTCATACCATTGGGAATGACCCAAACAAACAGAACTACCCATGAGGTACTTGTCAAAGAAGGGACCACATCTTACTGCTGGCTAACCCCACT